TGTTTGGGCAAAAAAAGCATGCTCAAACGCAAACAGCTAAGGATGAGCTTAATAATTCCACTAATTCAGAACAGAGCAAACCATTTGGGTTTAGTCATGCCACTAATTCAGAACAGAGCAAACCATTTAGGTAATTACAAAACAAACAAAAAAAACCCCTAGACAATAGGGGCAAGTCACCCAGCACTCACTGCAGAGAGCACAGGCACATCTGCACAGCAACACGGCCGTTCTCCCTGACTATATTTTCATTATCTTACAGGACACAGCTCAACCACACAAAGTATCTGGCACCTGCACTTCCCACTGGGCATGGCCTAAACTTAGGAGTCCCTCGGGTTTAAGCCCTGTTTTGTGACATCCACTCCAAAGACTGGGAATAACCCCAGGCACCAGTACATGCTGGGGGCTGACCAGTTGGAAAGCAGCTTTGCAGAAGAGGACTTGAGGGTCCTGGTGGACACCAGGTTGAACACGAGCCAGCGATGTGCCCTTGCTGCAAAGAAGACAAATGGTATCCTGGGCTGCATTAGGCAAAGTATTGCCAGCAGGTCAGGGGAGGTGATCCTTCCCCTCTGCTCAGCACTGGTGAGACCACACCTGGGGTACTGTGTCCAGTTCTGGGCTCCCCAGTCCAAGAGAGGCATGGACATACTGGAGAGAGTGCAGCAAAGGGCTACCAAGGTGATGAAGGGACTGGAGCATCTCTCCTACGAGGATAAGCTGAGAGAGCTGGGACTGTTCATCCTGGAGAAGGTTCAGGGAGGAACTTATCAATGTATATAAATACCTGAAGGGAGGGTGCAAAGAGCCAGGCTCTTTTCAGTGGTGCCCAGTGACAGGACTGGAGGCAATGGGCACAACCTGAAACACGGGAGGTTCCCTCTGAACATCAGGAAACACTTTTTCACTGTGAGGGTGACCGAGCACTGGCACAGGTTGCCCAGGGAGGTGGTGGAGTCTCCATCCTTGGAGATATTCAAAAGCCGTCTGGACGTGGTCTTGGACAATGGGCTTTAGATGGCCCTGCATCAGCAGGGGGGTTGGACCAGATACCTCCAGAGGTCCCTTCCAGCCTCAGCCACTCTGTGATTCTGTCACTGCCCACCAGCCCTTCAGCTCCTTGAAATTAGCTGTCACAACTGGAAAAGAGCTAAATTCCAGTCTATCCAGTAACAGTGCCATAATTAGATATAAATAAGAGTCAAGAAATTATCATACACATTAACCCTACTGTTACATAGAGTGAAAAAATCATTGACTTAAGAATAGGAACGTATGTAAAAGTGAACAGTCACAAGACTGTGCCAAGGCTATACACACAAATGACCAATTACTGCTACAGGAGAATTTTTAACAGCCTAATGAGGGTTGTTTGCTCTGTAGCTCAGAGCCAAGATGGAGCCGTCTTTAAAGTGTATGCAAACCTAAAGCAAAACCAATTATTTGCACTGATGCGATATTTGTATGCAGAATTGATCACTGGCACCCTGTACTATATTGTCGTACTATCACTAAAAGGAATTGTATTTGATTTAAGGTTTTCATGGCTCTGGCTACCCATCTTTGAGGGCTGGCCATCAAATCTGGACGTAATGCAGCAGCAGAGGGAGAAGTGCCAATGCTCAAGCAGCAGTCACCGTTCAACAGCTCCTTCCGCAGGAGAGAGCTCACCGGTCAGACCACGCAGCCTGAGAAGACGCAAATGTATAGGAAAACGTGAAACCTTGCATCACCGTTTAGCTTGTAAACAGCACGAGATGAGAATCAGCCTACGTAACTAATCTACCTTTCCCAGGAGAGGGACAAAAGGGAGGCTTTCCACTTGAAATCTAGTCATTTTTTAAAAAGTTGTTTGCTATCATAGCAAATTCTCTCGCTTTGCTACATGCGTTCTCACCGCAAGAATTAAACAACGTTCCTGTTGGTCTTTACAAACGAAGTGGCCTTCTAGAGCGCAAAACACAAGGACTTGTTGCTCAAGCTGCTTCTAGAAGAGAAAAGGAGAAATATGATAGATTAGACAAGGAAGTGTTCAAGGCTGTCAAAAACCTAATATTAAAAATGATTGTTCAAACTGTTATCAGACAGACAAAATACAGAGCTTCCTTTTGCGCTTATAAAAAAAAGAATATTTTACATACGCAGGCTATACGGCAATCAAACGGGTTTAAAAGTGCCAACCATCAAAAAAGAGACATCGACAATATAGTAGAGCAAAAATGCAGCAACCAAGATGGTTGAAGCACAAGGAATCAATCAGCTTGTCTAACACAATATACCTTCTCTGCTACAAACCTTCCCCCAACTGTATATTGAGTCAGTGCTTTAATACCACTTTTTCATCTAAAATGAGCAAGAGCTTGACAAATGGTGGTGGGAAAAGTCACTGTGCAGAAGTTACTGTCTTTTAAGTGTCTGCTTTTGTTAATCAGATGGGAAATAAAAAGATGGGAGGACAAGAGAGTGGGAAATCAAGGACTCTTTTCTTCTTTCTAGCGCAACGTCAAATCACCATGTCTAGTACCTGTTGGATTGAGAATGCACATCAAAAGGCTCAAAGTATAATTAGCCCGTGAGAGAAGAGGAAAATATTGTTTTCCAGTTGTCTGGCTTCACAAATATCCACTAAAATGCTTTCTATTCAACTTGGCCACACACTTCAAGCCAACAGTTTCTATTAAGACCATTTACAACTTGGGAAGTATCGCATGTAACCGCTTTCCCTCCTGAAAAAGATATTAGAAGTTACAGGGAAGAACTAAGGCGGGGGGGGAGAAGAAAACAACCAGTACTTCCACAAAGAAATCTAGTCAGTACGTAGGGGAATAAAAACACGTGATAGTGGCAAACGGCGACAGGATCGCGCCGAGGGCAGTCACGAGTAAGCACGCGACACGCCACGCTTCAGCTGCTAAAGCAGTCACGCAGGGAGAACTCTTTTTTTTCCCCCCAAATCATGGCATATTCATCTCTCCAATGAGACAATTCTGAAGCAGAAGAGCTTGAAGGACCACACATTCTGCTGCTCCCCCCCAGTGCCACATCGTTGTTCGTTCACCTCGAGAAGGATCACTTACTCTCCTCATTTCCAAGCACAGAACGGTTTGGGTTGGAAGGGACCTTTAAAGGCCATCCAGTCCAACCCCCTGCCGTGGGCAGGGACATCTTCAACTCGATCAGGTTGCTCGGAGCCCCATCCAGACTGACCTTGAATGTTTCCAGGGATGGGGCATCTACCACTCCTCTGGGCAACCTGCTCCAGGGTTTCACCACCCTCATTGTAAAACATTTCTTCCTTAAACCTAGTCTGACTCTACCCTCTTTTAGTTTAAAACCATTCCCCCTTGTGCTATCAAACAGCAAATAACCACTCTGCCAAAACTAACTGACTACACCTAGCACCCATCCCCAGAGGAGAAGGGAGAGAGGTCTGCTTGCGACTTTCGAGAGCCTCTGGTCGGGCAGCGCGGGTGCCTCTCACATGGAAGCGACTCGAGTCCTATCCAGCTGTAAACAACGCGCCAATAAATAACCACACTCCCCACGTTTTCTTTTTTGACATTTTTATTAATCAAAGACAGGATGACTTCGGTATTTCGAGTGATCAGAGAGATCCCAGGATGTTTCCATAGCTAAGCTAAGCTTAACCAAAAGATACATTGCAGAAGACGTGATAGATTTGGAGCAACACCCTTGTTACGATGGGGTGAAGGGCTGTCACTGGCACCCTGCGCAGCGCAAGCGAGGCTCCTCAGAAAGAGAATAGGCCATTGGCAATGGACCACGACTCTTGCAGGGACATGCCAAGACCTCCAGAAGAGAAAAAGGAGAATTTGACATTGTACCTGACAGAGAGAGTCCCTAAGGACCAGAGATGTATCAAAGGTCTGTCTCTACCGCTGAGGCAGAGCCACGTACAGAGTGTTTCAGCTTCAGACCTCTTACACATACAAACCCAGCGGTTTTTATTCATGCTATATAAATACATGTGTATTTTGTATTGGCATTTATAGAGTTGCATAAAAGTCAAAATATAAAGTCCTGCAAGGTTTTGTTTAATACTCTTAGTGGAAGCTTGAAGGGTAAAGTTTACATGTCACTGTTCCCAACAAAAACCAAAAGCTAACTATGTGCGAAAATAAACTAGATATGCCATTTCCATTCCTTAGCATTTTATAAACAATTTTCAGTATACCAATAAATACTCAGGGCAAAGCACATGCTTAGTTAAAATCCTGGATATGGATAAAGTGTAAGGGAAAAAAAAAAAAAAGCTAGCACATGTTGTCTGCATGCTCACAGAAATATAAAAAGAAGGAAAAGTGTTTCTCACTCATAGCATTATTCTGGGTTTGGTTTAAGAAATGTAGATGCTTTCTCCCAAAATAACGGTACTTACAAGGTCATTTTACTCATTTGTATAAAGAAAAAAAAAAGTTACAGTGATGGGAACACAGTCAACGTCACTTGAAACTAAGTATTTCCATACTCATTATGAAGACTGCAGTGAGTTTATACTTATGATCCAACACTGTTTGTGTTGAGGGCAAATCTACTGCTTGGTGTATGACAAGGTAGCATCCAAAAAAAAAAAAACACCACCCAGAAATCCCAACCAAAATTAATTACAATTTATGGGATGGTAAGAAATGACAGTTTTCCAGCATAAAATCTATAATATTCCTTTCCTTTCACATCACCCACTGAAGCTTGCCCAGGTTCTCCACAAGGTAACACTACTTCATAACAAGTTATTTTCCCCATGAATACGGCAGGCCAAAATACCCGAATTCCTGTAACTGGTAACAATATATGTCTCCTTCCCATGAATGAAGACAGCGATTTAGCAGATGGAACCTTAGGAAACAGAATTTAAAATTAAAAGGTAATGTTTCAGCCCACAGTTAGGAACTGAAAATGCGAGAAGTACAATTCAGAAAAGAGTTAATGATTCTGTATAATTTCAGCTTGAAAGTACGGCATACAAATCAGGATTATTACAGAAGCATCCATAACATGGTCATTACAGAGGCGATACTGAAGGCCGCTTTGTTAACCCCAGTAATTGCGCTCTCATTGCACAAGTCGTGTTGGCAGCAGAAGAATTCAAAATTATCCAACTGGAAGAATTCAGCAATATCATTCATGCTGCACTGGGATGCCTTCCAGCAGGAGGAAGTTCTCAATTTACCTACCAAAAAAAAAAAAACCACCAGATTAAGAGACTATTGAAAGTAATACCACTTTTGGTACGGAGAGAGAATCACTGCCTAGACTGCCTCATACTTGCTTTTTCAGCCTGAAGTGTTTAGAAGTTTCCAAATTTGCCTTCACTAGGAATTTAGTAGTGCGAATAGCGATAGCAAGCCACGGTCCTGCCTCCACAGCACTCTCTCGTAGCTCTTAGCCATAGGTTAAGAAAGACGTCTAGCTCAAGCTCAGCGCTTCCAGTTCAGTCCAAATGACCCACTGGGAGATACAGGGTGGAGCTTGAGTGATCCCTGCTCTGGGGCTCCTGACAGAGGACAGCGCATCACCACCTAGCTCCACTCGCATGGCTCTTGCGTTGTCCTACAGCACGGGCGTTCTCCCTCCACAAAGCTCAGAGTGAGTCCAGTAACTCAAGCCAGTTTTTGTGCTGAAGACAAGTCCCGTCGGATCTGACCGGCTTCATTTCCAGAAGCAACGTGCAGAAGACAGAGCTGGAAGAGCAGAAGAGCCCTCCCCTTTTCTCGCTCATTCCCCTGGACACCAGAGATCAAACAACTTGCCTTCCATCTTCCCTAGCTTGACACCTCAAGTGCTGGACTCCTGACTTTGACAATGGACAACGAGAGCGTTTGTGCTCACGAAGGTTTAGGCTCAAGGGAAATAGCAACAGAGAAAATTCCTTAGAGCAGCGTCCAGCGGTGTTAGCAGCTTTGCTTCCTCCATGCCAAGTCATGAGCTTTGGCAGGGACCATCCCGAGGAAGGGAGCAGTCCCACCCCACGCGGGTCCCCGCTGCCCAAACAGTCTGTCTGGGGCAGAGGGAACCAGCTGGGAAAGCAGGAGATTATTTCAGTTGACTCGGTACTTCTGTTTTTCCAATGAAACTCCTGACACTCGTAGAAGAGTTACTTAAATGTTATTGAACAACTAGAACAGTAACTCTGTGCCCCGAATATCCTTGACCATCTTCCTGAGATGCAGGTGACCTCACCCTCAGGATAAGATAATTTATTCTAATAGTCTCAATTCATAAACGAGCGAGTCTTCATCTGCAGGTTTATTTTGTGGGTTACACATACTTTATCTGTTTTTAAAGTGTAACAAATGCAGGGCAAAGGGTTTATATCTTAAAGTCACTGCTGTCTCCTATTTTTTCCAGCTCCCTTAGGTGGTAGTTTTTTTGTTGTTTTTTGGGTTTTTTTTAAATCTGGATATAGAGATATCTGTGTATATGCTTGTACAAGTGTAAATCAGCTATCTAAATCATCATTATCTTCATCAGTTGCTTGGAAGTCAAAATACATCAATTTACCATACGCATGACCTTCAAAAGTATTCGCAACGCTCTTTTGGGCGAGGCTAAGAAATGCATGCTAAGGCCAGATTAGAAGCGTACAGGCAATGAAAACTGATATAACCGTGTTTATTTTAGGTCTGTAGGACAGTATACGTACCAAATTTCATCTGCAAGCAAGTATCTTCAATTGCTAAGCAAGTACTATTGGTCTTGCACAAGGAAGGGCTGTTCTCACAGTGGTAACACCTTAGGGTATAACCTAAGAAGACAGAGGTTTATCTTTACTGAGTAACAAAGTGCTGAAACAATAGCAGCATTAAAAAGGAAAAAAAGAAGAATCACTATCTGCATCTAACTGTCCCAAAACATATGCCTGATATTAGACTCAAGCTAAAATTTACAAGCTTTTGTCAGCGTACAGATTGAGACTGCCAGTTGTGAAAGGAAGATTTTGAAGCATGGACTCAAGTCATTTTTAAAAACACTTACCTTTCTGTCCCTGCAGAGTAATATATTAAATGTTTGCTTCTTTCATTTACTCTTAAAGATTGCCTTTTCCAAAAGGACAGACAAGAAGAGACACTTTCAGCAGAATTTTATTCTATCCCTTCTTTATTTCACCTCATTTCTCCCTCGTGCTATACACCTGGTCTCCAATTTACACAACAGGAATCCAATCTTCTCGCAGCAAAACACAACAGCCTGTTGCTGTATTAAGCAGCAGCATCATATTCTGCTCCCAATTCTCTCTTCTGACCAAAAGACAGTAAGTCCTACTTCAATGGTTACTGTCATTCCCCAAAGTGGTATTAAATAATGTAGGCCTTTTTTGTTATTTTTCCTTCTCCGGTATTTTTTCCATGATTTCCTCAGCCCCTGCCGTAACACTCCCTTGTACTCACCACAACTACAAAAGGCAACCAGAACAATGCAGGCCGTTAACAGGACGCAGTTCATCTTGATCATGCTTCTGCCCTAATTTGAAGGCATAAACAGACGTTACATGTTTATTCTATTTAAAAGCTACAGGAAACTAGCAAAATACATGGGGAGGAATCGAGGTTTCATCTACTACTAAAAAATCTCTGCTATTGCAGAGAGTAGGCTACTCAGACTGGGTATCAAGCAGATAGAGGGGGAGAGAGGGAGAGAGGGACCGTACTTGTGCTAGGAGGGCATGATTTCATGCTTATCTTCAAAGCCCAAGTGGGATTGGAAGTCCCAAAGAATTAAAGGCATTCAGATAACAAGTTTCACTTATGATACGACTGCAGTGAAACAGGCACATCGCTGCTCTTGACCCTGTTAATACTGCTTGAAGCTATTTCTATACGCAACTAAGAGTCTAGCGTGGCAGACCATCATCACGTTGGGATGGTTTTTCCCTCCCAGAAGACTGACTGTGGACTCTAAAAGTTTCACACTGAAATCCTTCTCAACCTTGTCTAGCTAATTTTTCTACTGACAAAAAAAAAACAACCACCCAACAAAAAAACCCCACTAACTTTTTTTCCTGTATGACCTACTGTGGAGCAGGAAAACTAAGAAAAACAAAACCATAATGTGCAGGATGAGATGATTTTCTGGGGTAAACAACTCTGTGAGAAGCCTTCCAAGACCAGAGGCTCATCCCACAGTGACGTGAATCTGCAGGAGTGCTGTTCGTCTGGCGGTTAAAGCAAGAGCCATTCTGGACAGCAACAAGAACCTCCCTGGGGACCTCTCCATCTTCCAGGAGCCCTCAGTCATCCAACGGTGTCAGCAGAGTAAAACAGTTTTGCCTTTTAGCAAAACCGAGTCATGACCAGAATAAATATAAGGCAGATTAATAAAAATCATCATAGCCAGCATAATAGCTTTGACAGTAGTCATTCAACCAATCTATTTTTGTGAAAATGAGTAATTTTTTTCTGTACTCCTGAATAACAACGAGATGACACAACAGGAAAATTTTAGCTTAAAAAAAAATATATATATATAGACAGAAATTCACAACATAGCTTAAAAGAAACAAAGCAGAAAACATCTCCTAAAAATTTTCTAAATTGCTGTTTCAACTCAAGCACCTGACCAATGTCAACAAGAAGAAATAACAAGAAATAGCAACTGCAATAGCAAGAAAGGCTCATCGCCTTCGTTGTGAAACCGAAGAATTTCTCCGCGGTCCCACCTGGGAGAGCAGATGAGGCTGGGCTGTTACCTTCACCATAACCTCAGCGCAGAGAGAGGCAAGAGAAGGGCAACAAGGACCAGGAGCCCCATTCCTGGGGGGAGCTGGGCGTTTTAGCAGCTGCTCGGGGTTGCACCACTTCGCTTGCCGAGGGATCCTGCGGCCAGCAACCGCCTGGCAGAGGCAACCTGGCTCCCTCCCATCTTTTTTTAAGTCAGCCGCAGCCCGCCCCGGGCAGTATCTGCATCCCCGAGCCGGGCTCCAGCCGTGGCTCCGGGGCTTTTCCCCCGCAG